ATAGCCAAGTTTGGTATTTACTGTAAGCCAGTGCCCAAGCAGGGACCAACGGCCTGTGTCTTACAGTTGTCACTTTTGAATCTCCCTTTTCCTCATTCACAGCCAGCTCTCAATTGCGTGTGCTAATGAGCAAAAGACAGCTTGGATAAACAAAGTTCCCCAACATGATTCTTGTCATTTATTTCCACGGCCCGCCCCCTGGGGCCTGGGGAAGAGCCTAACCAGGAACTGCTCTGTATGAGTTCCCATCTCCCGCTCCTTCCTCTGTGTGGCTGTGATCAGGGAAACTGTAGGAAGGCGGAGGGGCCTGCGTGATGCAGAAGTTCAAGGGCTAACATCCCGAATAATCCATCGGCCCAAATCTCACGTCTGGCTGCTACTCAGTGACAAGGGCCAGTGAGGGGACCACTTTCCCTGGGACGAGAGCTCATTGTTTTGTTCCTCTTGTCCCCATATATGCGATGTGAGCAGCAGTCTGTGAGGCCTGAGGCTGAGCGGGGCACCCGCTGACAGCCGTGGGAGGACTGCCCATCATGGGCATTTCCGAGTTCATCTTGAGGGTCTGTCTGCAGGGCGAGATGGGGAAGAGGGGCCAGCAAGCACAGAGGGGGGCTTGGTGATGAGGATGGTGGTCGTCCATTTCCGTGAATACTTCCTATAGCCCCACTGTTGGGGAAACTGAGGCCCAGAGGATGGGGTGAGCAAGTGTCTGGGGGTCACCGTGTCTTCATCGGTCTGTCCCTTCTGTAAGTCTGTCCTCAGGTCCCGCTAATGATGGGGGTCTGTCCTTCAACAGGGAGCCACAGCAATGGCCCCATAGCATGGACCCAACGGGGACGTGCATCCCTACCCCCTGCACCCCTGGGGTCGCTCCTGCACTCGCTGTGTGGGACAGATGTGGCTGAGGGGGGGACGTGTCTCGGGTGTGTCCCCTTCCTGATACTGAAGTGGCAAAAGCAAACGACTCCATCCCCGCCTGGTACTGAAGCCAGGAGTCCAGTGGTCTTGTTTCCAGGCACCGTGGGGTCCGGTCTGCAGATTTCCACCTGCACAGCCCTTGTCCGCCTGCCCCAGGCCCAGACTCTTAAAGTGAAACCCAGCAGATTCTGGATCCTTCTGAGGGCTCTGGTTCCAGGATGTGAGCCCAGTTTTGGAAGGTGGGAGAGGTTGGGGGGTAGGGAGAGGGGGCTCAGGCACGGCCGTAAAGGAATCCCTCGTACCCGTTAGCACCTGTGGCTCATCATCTGCATCCTCACGTGGCCACGCACGCTGCCGAGTAGGGTGATATATGGACCAGCTCTGGGAATGGTGGCGTGAGAAGCGGAAGGGAAGTGCTCGCGGGCGGGCTGCCTGGGGAGGCGGGTGCGCTTCCTTCCAGCGCGGGTTCTACCAGGCCCGAGGAGGGGCAGGAAAGCTACTCCGGGGTCATATGGGCGTCCAGTGGTGGGGACACAAGACAGATGGCCCCCAGCTGCCCCCTAGTTCTGTGTTTCCTCGTGCCCCTTGTAAATTAGAATTGAAAAGTTCACGCATTAAAAAAATAGGCACACTGAGCTAAAAGTACATGGTAGAATAGTAAAGCAGCCAAAGAACATCAGCGTATCAGGATGAATAAAGTGGAGGAGTGTGTGATGAAAGCAGAAATCCTGGAAGTCTAGAAACGGACAGGGACCGTGTTGGTGGAAGGCTAAAGTGATGCAGCACAGTGACCACTGAGCTGGTGGACTGTGGGTCTCAGGAGAGGCCTCGCCTCCTGCCCCCCTGTCTGTGGGACCCGGCAGCCCCTTCCCTAGGGAAGGCTGAAGGAGGTGAGGATGCAGGAGCAGGGCCGGGAGGAAGACGGAGGCGGCCTTTGTGCGGGCAGACTCTCGGCGCCCCCGAAATTCTGCTACAGGAACCCTAATGCCATCTGCACGCCTTCATTGTTCTTCCCACCTCTTACTTTTTAACATTAAAAAATATAAAAGTAACAACGAACAAAGCCCTTCCCACGTTCCCTCCTCCAGGCTGGGCCCTGCCCTTCCAGGCTCCTTAATTCCCAGCGTCGGGCTAGTGGCTGTTTCCAGCTATTTCATTCCAGAAATGGTGTGAAATGGCTAATCCGTGCTTGTTGAGTTGAAAACAGTGAGGAAGATTTTGAAAACAGATATTTATCAAGAGCCACTTCCGCCAACAAACCCATGTATTCATTATCTAGAGAAAAACCACTATTAACATTTCCTAAAAGGATTTTTCCGTTGTACTGCGAATAGGTTTGCCTTCTTTTTCCATTGAATGCCTCTCCCCTTGTCATTAAAACATAGTTTTTTTAACGTTTGAATAATATTGCATCTTAGGAATAAACGAAAAATCACCTAACTCCCAATTATTGTTGAAGATTTAGGTAGTGGCAAATTTTATATGGAATATATAATACCGTAAAGGACATCTTTGTGCATGACGTTTATTCTGTATTTTATGTCACCTTCTGAGGCTGTACTTCCAAAAGTAAAATTATTGGGCCAAAGGGTGTCAAAAAATTTCTCTCCTTTTACTCTTTTTTCATTGAGATTCTCTCGATTATAATAACAGCATGACGGGCACATAAGAGGTGTCCTAAACACTGATACAGGATTACTTTGGGTCAGGGACTTCCCTGGTGGTCCAGTGGTTAAGATGCTGCACTTCCACTGCAGGGGGTATGGGTTCAATCCCTGGTCAGGGAACTAAGATCCCTGCATGCTGTGCAGCACAGCCAAAAAAAAAAAAAAAAAAAAAAAAAAAAAAAAAAGAATTACCTTGGGGTCATTAATTCATTCACAAGCATTTACTTGAAGTGTTTGTTGGCATCGAGGTGCTAATGAGACAAAGGAAAGTAACTCAGTCCTGATGGTGGCAGAGTGGCTGGACCTCCGGCTGGGAGTCAGATGACCCGCCTTTGAATCCTTGTTTGTCTCTTCTGGGACCTTGGGGAAGTCGGTCAACTTCTCCAAGACCAGTTCTCTCATCTTCAAAATGGGCATTTTTCAAAATGGGCATTTTCAGGGATGCTAACTTGAAGGGTTGTGAGGGTTAAAATAGGGTGAAGAAAGAAAATGCCCAGCCGGGGGAGGTAGGCAGGGGTGGCACTCAGCAATTTTAGTTGAATGAGCAAGTTCACGGTTTGATTATGAGGACAGACAGGTAGACATCTCTTAATGCTTCTGGGAATGAACCTTGGGAGGGGATTAAAAGGCATCATGAAGGAGATGACATCTGAGCCTCCCCTTGAGGAAGAGCATCGTCACCAGGTGGAGAAGTGGGCGGGGTGCCCCCCGGGACCAGGGTGCACGGGGACTGGACATGTGGTGGAGGGAGGGGTGCACGTGGGGATTTGCGCCCCCTGTGCAGTTCGTGGACTCTGACAGCGATTTTAGCTCAGGGATTGTGGAGGAAGAAAGAGCGTGGCAGGACAGGAGGGCAAGAGGCCCAGCTTGGCGGCTGTTGCACATCTGATGAGAGGCTGGAGGGTCCGAATTAGGGCAGGGGCCCTGCTGGCTATGGAGCTGGACCACGGGAGGCAGTGAGGACAGCCGTCGCTCTTCTCGCGTGGACACTTGTCTGGGGTGATTCAGTACAGCTGAGTCAGGAGACTCCCAGCTCAGGAGGAGGAAGTGTGCTGTTACTGCGGCAGGGGCTGGAGGGGGCAGGGGCAGTCGTGTGTCTGCACGAAGTTGACTGGGGGTGCCTGTGGAATGCCCATGTCGCGACAGACTCCGGTCACAGCAGCTGGGGCCCCTTCTATGTGCCAGCCGCGAGGCGGACTCAGACTACAGGCATCCCAAAGGCCAGCTTCCCCAACGGGGCGGGAGAGCCGAGGGCCTGCACCCAGTGGCCTCGCAGGTGGGCGTGGATCCAGTGCTCGCGGGCGTGCCCTGGAGGAGTCACAGAAGAAGTCAAGGTTGGCTGGAAAGAGGCTGCGGAGGGACCGGGCAAGAGTGACAGGCAGGGCGGGTGGAGGAAGCCGGCGGCACCCTGGCCCCGGAGAGCACTGTGTCACACCCAGAGTGCTCTGGGCAGGGGGGCTGGGGGCCGCGTCACCGCGGGGAGGCTCGGCCCGGGGCAGGGGATGCCGGCGGGTCCCAGGATGCCCCTGGGTCTGCCCTGGGGCTCCCCTCCTTTCTGAACTTGTGCCCCCGCCCTGGCCCTCCCCTGGCTGCCTGCTCGCCCAGCTTCGTGTCTCCCCTGGGAGACGAGCTCCAGGAAGGCAGGCATGTCAGGGGTCCCTCTCTACCTCCTGGAAAACGGGGACGGGTGTCCAAGGGAGGGAACGGCAGAAACCAGTAACCCTTAGGAGGCCGGGGTTTGCTCTGTGTGGTTCCAGGAGTAACTGTCGCCCTGGGGCTGGGGGTGGCCTACAGGAGGCATTTGAGCTCAGCCTGGGGGCCCCCAGGTGCAGGCTGCTGGAGCAGGGCAGGCCCGGGATGCAGCAGGGGCTGATGACATTCCACTCTGCTGGGACATGGACATGCAGGTGGGCAGATGCCAAGCAAGTCATGTCCGTGCGGTTCCAGGCCCTGAGATGCTGCCCGCAGAGTGAGGACCGGTGGGTGACAAACACCCCCCCGAGGTATGGCAGCGAGTCCCCCGCGACGGCGCGGGACTCACGGGCTGTAATTCCCTGACTTGTTAGTGGACTCTGATGCAGTTCTGCTTTCCGCTGGGAAACACCGTGGACACGCATGCCTGGGTCGCTCGATGCTGCCACCCAGGCGTGGGGATGGCCGCGAGGGGAAGCGGGGGTGGGCAGGGATGCTGAAGGGCCCTGTGGAGCGGCTGTCACTCGCCACATGTTCACTTGTGCTCACGAGCGATCGTGCCTAGAGCTCTCGGCGTGCGGGCGCAGACCCTCCCGTGTGTCTCCCTCCTGCCCGCGTCCGCCCTCTGGGCAGCCACCTCCTTCTCTGTCTCTCCATCACTGTCCCTGAAAACGCGGTGCTCTCTGCCACGTTCCCTTGGGGTCTGGTGCTGATAACGTGATAATGAGTGATTCTACTTAATGAGACACCCTCTCAGGTCATATTAGTGCATTTTTAATAGGGCCTTTCTGGAAATATCTTAACCCCAAATTTCCCAGGTAGTTGACGGAACACTAGTTGTTCCCTCAAACCAAAAAAAAAAGGAAAAAGGAGTAAAAGTATGCTTTGGTCAAATCAGTTAAGAGGTGCAGGCGATTATGTCCCCTTGGGGATTGACAATATCTGTCACATAGTAAAGGATCTAAAATGTGCTGCAGTAAAAGGTCTGATTCCGTCTAGTGATTTATATGCCATCCATCCCTCCCATTCTTGGGACAGCTGTCAGTATCCTGAGTTTTTCTGGGAGATGCCGCCTTCACCCTGAGAAGTCACCCTCTGTGCAGCTGTGGCCTGTAGCAGGCCACTGTAGCGTATACTATAGGCCTTGTTAAGAATAAAATTTGTTTTATTGTGCCAAAATATTCGTAACACAAAAGTTACCATTTTAATCATTTTCAAGTGCACGGTTCAGTGGTATGAAGCATTTACCCTGTTATGCAGCAATGCCCACCATACATCTCCAGAACTTTTCGTCTTCCCAGATTGCAACTCTGAAGCCATTAAACACCAACTTTCCATTCCTCCCTCTTTCCCAGGCCCTGGAAACCACTGTTCCACTTCCTGTCTCTATAAGCCTCACTGCTCTAGGTGTCTCATATAAGGGGACTCCTACAGTATTTGTCTTTTTGCATCTGGCTTATTTCACTGAGCATAGCGTCCTCAGGGTTCATCCATGCCATAGCACATGTCAGAATTTCCTTCCTTTTAAAGGCTGAATAATATTCCATTGTTTGTATAAACCACATTTTGTTCACCCATTCATCCGTCAACAGACATTTAGGTTGTTTCCGCCTTCCGTCTCTTGTGAATAATGCTGCTTTGTACAAACGTGGCTCTTTGACCCCTGTCGGGTGTCACCTGTGGGAGACTTCCGCTCCATCCAGGCAGGGGGCGCTGGTGGGGCTGCGTCGCTTTCTCCTTTTTAGCGGAGACCAGATTATTTTTATCGCTTGCCATTGAGGAGCGTTTTTGTTTACGGAAGCCATACAATACTGTCTGTGTATTATCTTGCCCTAGAAGTTGACAACCAGCCCCCCCCCCCACGCCACGCCATGGGGAGGCACAAGGGACCCCCGCTGCTTACAAAAAGAGGAGCCTGCATGAGGAGGGGCAGGGGCCCCTTCCCTTCCCATCCAGCTGTGACGGCCACACTGACATCTTTAAGAAGAGGACAGACGCCGCCCTTCCGTGGAAATGTATTCACTCAGGAGGGGGGATTGTCTTGGTGGAAACCTATTTCCTGCCGTCGAGCTGCAGAAGGGGTAGATATATAAAGTGGAGGTAGCCTTGTAGCCTGGGAGCTCGGCTGAGAAACATCTTTTTAAAGATCATCTTAACTGCTGGGGAGGCCGCGTCCTTGGAGATGATTTACGTCTCCTCACGGTGTTTCATTTTTCTCTCCTAGCTTACGTTCCTGAGGAAGAACTGAAGGCAGCAGAAATAGATGAAGGAAACGTGGAGGAGGATGGGCTGCCTTTGGACGTTCAGGAAAGCGACTTCGTGTGCAATGAGGAGCTGGAGCTCAAGGAGGCCCCGAGCTACCAGAACTCCCCCATCAGCACCGCGACTAATCAGGATGCCGGCTACGGGTCGCCGTTCAGCGAAAACAGCGACCAGCCAGCCCCTTTCAAGAGCTCTTCCTGCAAGGAAGAGAAAGAGGAGGCCCAGGGCCGGGAGGGCGTCTCCTACCCCCAGGACAGCTTGGCCCAGATCAAGGCCGTGTATGCAAACCTGTTCTCGGGGTCCTGCTGGTCCAGCTTGGCTCTGGATTTGAAGAAGTCTGGCTCGACCACCGGCAACAGCGATGCCGGCCGGAAGGAGGGCTCCACCCCCGCCGCCACGCCCCCCACCAGTACCGCGGGGGCCACCGGGACCACGGCGAGCACCCCCAGCTCAGGCTCCGGCTCCGGCTCCGGCTCCGGCTCTGGCACCGGCACCGGCGCCAGCGGCGGCTCCGGGTACGACTGGCACCAGGCCGCCCTGGCCAAGACGCTGCAGCAGACGTCCTCGTACGGGCTGCTGCCCGAGCCCAGCCTCTTCAGCACCGTGCAGCTCTACCGGCAGAACAACAAGCTGTACGGCTCCGTGTTCACGGGCGCCAGCAAATTCCGCTGCAAAGACTGCAGCGCCGCGTACGACACGCTGGTGGAGCTGACGGTGCACATGAACGAGACGGGGCACTACCGCGACAACAACAGGGACAAGGACTCCGAGAAGACCAAGCGGTGGTCCAAGCCCCGGAAGCGCTCCCTGATGGAGATGGAGGGGAAGGAGGACGCGCAGAAGGTGCTCAAGTGCATGTACTGTGGCCACTCCTTTGAGTCCCTGCAGGACCTGAGCGTGCACATGATCAAGACGAAGCATTACCAGAAAGTGCCTCTCAAGGAGCCGGTGCCGGCCATCACCAAGCTGGTCCCTTCCACCAAAAAGCGGGCGCTGCAGGACTTGGCGGCCCCCTGTTCCCCCGAACCGGCGGGCATCACGGCCGAAGTGGCGCCGAGCGAGTCAGCCAAGGACCAGAAGTCGGCCAACCCGTACGTGACGCCCAACAACCGCTACGGCTACCAGAACGGGGCCAGCTACACCTGGCAGTTCGAGGCCCGCAAGGCCCAGATCCTCAAGTGCATGGAATGCGGCAGCTCCCACGACACCCTGCAGCAGCTCACCGCCCACATGATGGTCACCGGCCACTTCCTAAAAGTGACCACGTCCGCCTCCAAGAAAGGGAAGCAGCTGGTGCTGGACCCCGTGGTGGAGAAGGCCCAGTCCGTTCCCCTGCCCCCCACCGCGCCCGCGCGGCGGCCCGCCGCCCACGTCGGGAAGCAGCCCGGCTCCCCCTCGGGCTGCGCGGCCTCAGAGGAGCGGGAGCCCGAGAAGGAGAAAGCGCCGCCGGCAGGGGCCGGAGACGCGGACGAGCAGATCAAGGAGGAGGGGGAGGACGCCGCCGCCAAGTTCGAGCCCACCACCCCCTACCAGTACCTCCGCGAGGAGGACCTGGACGACAGCCCCAGGGGCGGGGTGGACATCCTGAAGTCCCTGGAGAACACGGTCTCCACGGCCATCAGCAAAGCCCAGAACGGCGCGCCCTCGTGGGGCGGCTACCCCAGCATCCACGCCGCCTACCAGCTGCCGGGCACCGTGAAGCCGCTGCCGACCGTGCAGAGCGTGCAGATGCAGCCGTCCTACGCCAGCAGCGTGAAGTCTCTGTCCTCGGAGCACGGCGCGCTCCTGCACGCCCCGGGGAGCCTCACGCCGCCGCCCCGCAAGAGCAACGTGTCGGCCATGGAGGAGCTGGTGGAGAAGGTCACGGGCAAGGTCAGCGTGAAGGAGGAGGAGCGGCCGGCGGAGGACGAGGGCTCACCGGCCCAGGCCGCGGCCCCCGCGGCCAAGGAGAATAAGGCCTTCCCCAGGGCCGAGGACCTGGGCGGCGGCGGCGGCGGCGGGCCCCAGCAGGAGAAGGGCCCCGAAGCCGATGCGGGGAAGCCCAAGAAGGGGGCTGCGGTGGACGCCCACACCCCGAACGGCACGGAGCCCCTCAAGGCCAAAGTCACCAACGGCTGTAACAACCTGGGCATCATCACGGACCACTCGCCCGAGCCCTCCTTCATCAACCCGCTGAGCGCCCTGCAGTCCATCATGAACACCCACCTGGGCAAAGTGTCCAGGCCCGTGAGCCCCTCGCTGGACCCGCTGGCCATGCTCTACAAGATCAGCACCAGCATGCTGGACAAGCCGGCCTTCCCCACCCCGCCCGCCAAGCCGCCCGGCGCCCTGGACCGCTACTACTACGAGAACAGCGACCAGCCCATCGACCTGACCAAGTCCAAGAGCAAGGCCCTGGCCCCGGGCGCCGCCGACGGTGTGTCCTCGCCGCTCCGGGAGAGCGCGCTCATGGACATCTCGGACATGGTGAAGAACCTCACGGGCCGGCTGACCCCCAAGTCCTCCACGCCTTCCACCGTGTCGGAGAAGTCGGACGCCGACGGCAGCAGCTTCGAGGAGGCGGTGGACGAGCTGTCGCCCGTGCACAAGAGGAAGGGGCGGCAGTCCAACTGGAATCCGCAGCACCTGCTCATCCTGCAGGCCCAGTTCGCCTCGAGCCTGCGGGAGACCCCGGAGGGTAAGTACATCATGTCGGACCTGGGCCCTCAGGAGCGGGTGCACATCTCCAAGTTCACCGGGCTCTCCATGACCACCATCAGCCACTGGCTGGCCAACGTCAAGTACCAGTTGCGGAGGACAGGGGGGACCAAGTTCCTGAAGAACCTGGACACAGGGCATCCTGTTTTCTTTTGCAACGATTGTGCCTCTCAGTTCAGAACTGCTCCCACGTACGTCAGTCATCTAGAGACACACTTAGGCTTCAGCTTGAAGGATCTCTCCAAGCTGCCACTGAATCAGATTCAAGAACAGCAGAATGTTTCCAGAGTCCTGGCGAACAAAGCGTTGGGCCCGGTGGGAGCCGCCGAGGACGATCTGGGCTCCACATTCCAGTGCAAGCTCTGCAACCGGACTTTCGCGAGCAAGCACGCGGTCAAACTGCACCTTAGTAAGACCCACGGCAAGTCCCCCGAGGACCACCTGATCTACGTGACGGAGCTGGAGAAACAGTAGCCCTGGGTCCGCGCGCGGGCCCGTGGCACATTGCACTAAACGTCGTCATACTGCACTAGGCCTGGCCTGAGCCTCCAAAATCAGCCTGCCCTTTGTTGCTGACTGCCTGTCTGGACCTTGGTTTTTCTTACACATATTTTGTAGTTATATTTATATGCTCTTCGTCCGATTGTGCATGTTCCTTTTCTTTTTCCGTGAGTCAAAGTCTGACCTTTATTTTCAACATCTGTTCTCGATGTTCAGCTCCCTTTTGTAGGAAATAGTGGGGCACACTACTCAGAGACATTTATTTAGCAGGAAAGAAAGACACAAATAAGGATGAGAAAAGACGTCCTAAAATTACAAAGTTGCCATGACAATAAAGGTCATAGAACCTCCTAGTGTCAAATTTAACCCTTTGAGGACTGTAATCGCATTTCTGTGCCTTTCACTCAAAAAAAAAAAAAAAAAAAAAAAAAAAGAAAAAAGAAAAAAAAAGGCTTAAAGGCATTTCATTCAGATCAAAAGCTGTGTCAGACACAAAACTTATTTAATAATTAAAAAACAAGCTTTTATATGCAGGACTGGTTTGTGAAGGAAGCATGCATGCAGCTGTTGGAAAATAGAAAGTTGTCTAGGACTTGGGGTTAGGAAGCCACAACTTCACATGTTTAAAACAAGACAAAACAAAAACTAACAGCAGCAACAACAAACACCCCAGTTGCCACTATGCCCAAACCCTCTGGATGCTGAAAAAAATGCCACTTTTGGCAAAAAAAAAAAAAAAAGTATGCAAGCTATTATTTAAAAATGTGTAAAAATGCTATTTCTTTTTTCTGTAAAATACTGCAGTTTATAGTTATTTACAAATGTAAGCTTTGGTACAAGCTGACCTTTCTATAAGCGTGCTGCATTGGTAAATGAAAAAATAAATGGGGCAAATGTTGGAGTCCTTTCCTTGTAAATTGCCAGCATCAGCTTAGAAACTCCTATATGTTACATATCGTACCATTTTGATCTATTCAACTTTCTTTGTACCTTCTGGTTCTATGCTTTCTCTTTTAACTTTTTATATTGTCATTTTATATTAAATTTCTGTGTATATAATGTACAACCACAATTTTTGAATAAAATTTAGTTCCTGCAGCTTGATTTAAATAGAGAAATTTTACTGGCACCTGCATCTTTCCAGATGCATGTATATCAGACAAAAATAAATACATGAAAACAAAGCGAGCAATGCACTATTAATTATACATTTTGATGTTCTATCATTAATATTGTACAGTACATTTCGGTTCACACAATTAAATCCACTGTTTTCTCAAATGTAAAATAAACCCACATGCAGTTCTTGATTTACATAGATTGTCATGTCGTCATTATTTTGCCTTTGAGATGTCACTTCAGCAACGAGAGGTATGGCTTATGCAATCAACCAACAGAAATCCTAGTCGGAATCATTTCATGATTTGTGTGCTGACACGCTTCGTTCAAATGATCAGTATTGCGTTTCTTAAAATGATAATTAAAAAGTTTAACTCCGCTGGGTGCCACCGGATTCCTGAGGATAGCCATTGAGCATTGAGCGATGGCTGGCTTGTACATCGAGGGACTGAGGTGCTTCCTTCGGAGAATGCTCCCGCACTGTTTTTAAATGTTTACAGTTATCCTTTGTGTACATCCGGAGTCTTAACAGTGGGGGGCGGTCGAAGGGCAGGTCTTGCTCTATAGCAGCAGACCCTGGGGGGCTTGGAATTGGTTCTGCGTTGCTCCAAAGAGGAAAGCCTGATCTCTGCACTTTTAAAAATGTACAGTTTTTATAAAATGAGCTGCCCTGGAGCACGGCAGAGGGGTGCTGCTCTGCGCGGAAGACCACCGGCACTCCAGGCCTGTAAGCGCTGTGACCCCGGCCCTGAAGTCCGGGTCTCCCTGCTGAGTCTGGCCTCTTTGCCCCGGAAGTACATAACGACATGAGCAGGACAATTTCTTTTTCCACCTTTTGCGTACGTTTTCATAAAATAGTATCCTGAGAAAGCTTAGAACGTACAGCGCTCATCTGTGCTGTTTCCATGATTTCCGTCCATGCCAAGCCCTTGACCCCTGTGAGAAGAGAATCAGGGCGGCCACCTCTGCACCATCTGTGCTGAGGCCGCAGAGTGCCAGGGAGGTTTGCTGCCTTCTCCTGGCCTTCATGGGTAAACAGCTCTGTCCTTTAGGAGCTTCAGCCATTTAGACATTTTGGTTCAGTTTCTGGGGGATTATGTACGTTGGGCTCAAGGGGTGACGGGGAGGAGTGACAGGCCTGTGGTGGGGTCTTTGCACGATGATCCTTTGAAGTTCTGTTGATTTTATCACAGGCCTGCAGATGTATGTTCTGTGATTTCACCTTGGAGCGGATGCAGCGGGTAAGGTGGTGTGACCGGAGTGAGAGGCCGGGACGGGGTGGGTTCGGTCCCCATGTGGAGCCGCTGGGCCGTTTGAAAGCTTGCAGCTGAGTGCTGACCACTGGGGTGAGGACATGGGACTCGACGGGGCGGC